CCGTGGATCCAGGAGGACTCCCAAGTTGCGGGCCCTCTCTGAGGGGGCCAAGATTTCGCCCCCTATAGTCAGCGATGGGGTCAGCTGACTATGCCGAGGCGCCGGCAGCCACAGCCACTCGGTCTTGGAGGGGTTGAGCCTGAGTCTGTTCCTCCCCATCCAGACCCGTACGGCCTCCAGGCAACGGGCCATCACGTCACGTAACAAAACTGTGCCCCATTAGCCTCTTCAGAATGCAGTCTACTATGCCAATTTTCTTTACTTTGTAAGCATTATTAAAGCACAACAGATTGAATATGGAATAATAAAAACTCAGCACATTTTAAACTGCCATACCCAAACAATATTTCAGTTTTCAAAGGTTTGCTGAATTCCTATCGTATAATTTAAAATTTGAGTTCTTATTATTCCATTATTCAACCTGTTACCAGTCAGGCTAGTTATCTGCAGTAGAATTTTATAAAAAAGTCTGAGATGGTCCTTGACAAAGTTGGCTTAGTGCAATTTTGAACAAGAAAATATATATATTACCGTTTTCCAAGCTTTGCTTTCACTAGACAGTGAAAGCTACCTTAAAGATTTGATAAATTTAAATAATAATGGAGAATAAACAAAAATAAATAGCAAAGGAATATACTTACTTTGCTTTATGTTTTTTATGAATGCTGATCTTCCTTCTACAAGGTTCCATGTTCTAAAAAAAAAAATACCAATACACATCTTTTGAACCGAAGACAACATAGTTATTTTAAAATTTAAGAAATGTTTAAAAGTAAACTCTTAATTTTTTTATGTTCAAATTTTAACTTCCATATTAAAGGGAAATATTTAAAAAGTTAAAGCTGCTGATAAACTATGTATCCGTGAATCTGAATCTACAATATTATCTTGTCCATTACTCCTTCCTAATTAACAAGATAGTCGTATACTAATAAGGAAAGTAAATCATTTTCATTTTAGTAGTTATGGAAAAACATAAGATGATGGTACAAATTATAGGCAATATGGTTTCCTTTTGAGGAAAACCTTGAGAGTGCAGAAAACAACAGAGATGGCAAGGGACGTGGAGGCTAACCCTATGAAGAGCGGTTAAAGCAACTTGGTATGTTTAGCTTAAAGAAGAAAAAAAAAAAGACCAAGGGATATAGGATAGCAACCTTCTGACGCATGAAGGGATGTCATAAGGAAAAGGAAGTAGCACCCAAGGTAAGGCAAGAACCAACTCAATACTTATATATCTTATAAATTTGTTAACTTGTTTAGCGATAACAATATCTCTGATATTT